GTTATTTACATGAATTACTGAGTTGCGGCCGCCCCGCAGCACGAGTCATGACTGATTTAGCTTCCGCCGCCCCGCAGCGCCGCGAGGACGAGCCCGAGCATAGACATATGGAGACCGAGCCGCAGCTCTCGCGAGTCATTCGAGTCATTTCGTTTATTTAAGTGGCTTAATGTTATAATTTTAACAGCCAAATTCCCCGATCACATCCACCTACGCAATGTTGATCATATTCTGAATTAAGAAATCATAATGCAGTAAAAAATTATTTACAGGGAACATAAATAATCACTTTACCTCCCGAGTCTTACCTTCATTTGTCACGTGACATACACAATGAACAGATCGTTCATGAATCATATATCTGGGACTAATGCAGCAGGATGTCGAAAAGAAATATGGTGGATTATTATTATGATAATAATAATATGATAATAAGAGCACGCCAGGAGCGTTCACAGCCGAGGAAACTGACGTTATTGTCATGGCCGTAAAAGACGGAGAGCTGACGTATGTCCTTAGTTATGCATATAGTTATGGCCAAACAGGTCTGATCCGTCATTACTACAATTAGCCTGAAAAAATGGGTAGCCTAAATGCCTAAGCTTGAAGTGTTAATATTTGTCCTTGTTATAATGATTTGCAAAAATAAAAACGTCTGCACGCGCCAGTCCTAGCTGTAAACACTGATGATGCGAGCGAAATACTGGAGTGGCTGTAAACGACTTTTGCTTCAGTTTGAAAACCCCCGGAATGTTCTCCATAACAGAGCGAATTGCATCCCGTGTCTTGTTTCCCATTTCTGCGGTTGTTTCGGTATTTGATTTCTCTAACCTACAATGTACTCCTCGGCGCTTAGCGTCCACGTCACGGCTCTCAGCCCGCCCTCTGTTCGCTGATTGGCCGGCTGTTTTCAGGCCAGTGGAAAACTAAAAGATAGGCCGCTATCTCAGACTGACTACAGGAGCGAAATGAAATTAGCGGAAGTAGGAAGTCTGACGTAGTCAGGCTAATATCGTGTGGTACCAAAAAGAACAATCATACGCAAGTAATTTGCAAGTGCAGAAAACTACTGCCACTGATTCTGTATGCGGCATCAATTTTGACTCTCCTTTCAATCAGCTTTCACAGTTCCATGTTTGCCAGCCTGGCCGACCACCATTTCTAGTCCATGGTTTACTTGAGGGAGTCATAGCGTATGACCTCCCTTTATATATTCGCCATTTAGTTGAGGATAATCATTTTACAAACCTGCAGTTAAACAAGGTGCAATAACAAGTTCAGATTTGAAGTTAATGATAGTAAGGACAAACCAGCAGACCTCTCTCCCAGCAGCGACAAGCTTGAATGTGTCAATCGGAGGGCATGCAGTTCAGAACTGGTGTTTGCTTAGACTTCTCCCACTCATGGTGGGTGACAGGATTAAAGATCCCTGTGGAAAGAAGGTGTGCAAATCATTTTGCAGCCGAGGGAGATTATTGAGCTCATCTGTGCACCGGTCATTACAGAGGGTCATTACCATTATCTGTGCCAATATCCATCTCTCATCATTCACTTCGGCCCACTTATTCGCCTATGGACACTCCGATTTTAGAGCAAGCATACATTTTTTAAACAGTGTGCCAGAAAATTGCACAATTTTAAGAATTTGCTCAAAAATCTAGCAGAGAGGCACCAACTTCTACAAGTGTACTTGAGTGCAGGAAACTTGTTCCCTCCACTTGTACAAGCAGAAAAGGGGACTGCTTTTCATGTTGACGATTACAATGACAGGATCAGGGCATCTGTAGCCAGTTGTCCATTCCAGTAACAGTCGGCAGTGGCTTGTAACTATGTTACAGTCAAAGGCACAGATTACAGAATGATGTACATTTTACTAGAGAACAGTGATGAAGGGCATCTTATGGGGAAGATTATGTTAGTTAATGTTGTTCATAATTAGGTCTATTTTGTCTCAGAGAAACATACTTTTGTAAAGTTATGCGACACAGGTGTGTACTGTGACTTAGGAGTGGGCCAAGACAATTATGCGTGCATTAAGCAGGAAGATATACAGGACTACTATCCTCTTTCAGCATACAATGTGTATGATCAGTCCCTTATTGCTCTCCACCATTCTTTCCCAGACGCAGTATGAGCAGGGAGGAAATTGAGGATACATGATATTTGAGGAGAGACGCGAGTAGTAGAGCAGGGTACGTCGTCAAGTTTTTTTATGTTTGGTAGCCTTGAATAAAGTTTATTTTGTCTTTAATTTGCTTTGTTGATTTAACAGACTATAGCAGGAAATATGCATACATTGTTTGGATGGCAAAAATTAGAAATTACAGTGTTTCATGATTCACTACTTAATGTATTTTTACAGTGCACTCCCCGTAATGTTTTTCAATTTTTCAAGGAATTTACTGTAAATCACAGAAAAAACAGCAGTGTTACCATTATTTTCCTGTTAAATCACCATTTATTTTGTTTCCATTAAATATTTTGAATTATTTTTAGCATGTACCACAAATTGTTATAGACATATTCTATCTTGAGTTACCGTAATTCCTCAAATAAAAGCCGGGGCCTTTATTTACCTAAACTGCAGAAAGTACCTGGCTTTTATTTGAAGCAGGCTTTTATTACAGACAGGCCTTTATTTAAAAAAAAATCTAAATCAAATTTCCATCTGGGTTCCATATGAGATGCTCAGCTGCCGTGATGCATGTTGCAGTAGCGTTGTCACATCTTGCTATAACATTACACAGCCTATGCTCTCACACTTTTATTTTTTAGCGTTTTTGGAAGAAGCAAAATTTAGATAGGTGTTTTCAACAATCAGATGCATTTACACTTCATTTACACATCACATTTCGTCTCAGATGTCCTCCTGAAGAAGTGGTTTTCGAGCGATCGGATTTAAATCGTCTCGAATGCGCTTCGGATGGCATTTGGTATTTTCACGATCAGATCACAGAACACGCATAAAGTGGACAGGTGTAACACCTCTTCAATGAAAGACATTCAGGAGATTATCCACACTAAATATCCCCCGGCCTTAATTTGATACCGGCCTATATTTGTCCGCGTTGACAAAGAGTATAGAAGAACAAGAGGCGAAACTCTGATGCTTTTTTGGTAACAACCACTAGATGGCGCTTCGGTAGCGCGGCAGCCATATCGGGGTGAAAATTCCAACTGGAGTTACTGGACAACAGCACAGATAACAGTTTTTTGAGGTAGTTTTTTCTTGCAGTATTTCCATTGTATGCAACTTTACACTTTTACTACTATTATTAGTTACCAACTCCACTACAAACATGCTACAAACATGATGATCATTGATGCACTGTGTCCGTTATCCTATAACTTAATTGTCACTTTGGACATTGGTTGTGTTTTTTTTGTTTGTTTACATGGTCTTGCATCATTAATATAAGATAGGCTAGTACTGCAAAAAAAAAAAAAACTGTTTACTGTAAAGCTATTCTATTGCTGTTATATATTTATTGTCAAACATTTACATTGTAGTACAACATTTATTTGCTGAATTTATTTCATTGATAACTTATTTTAGTAAGAAACGTTATGTGTACCTCCCGGGAAATGGTCTATGTTATTATAACTTTATGAACTGATATCACTTTATTCTTACCTATCACACTTAATGTGGAGACTGTAATATAATGAATTAAATCCTCAAACTTCCCTGTCTCAAGTTATGTGGGGTTAAAAGTTTATGTGGGGTTTAACTGCTATAAAGTTAACTGTTGTGAGTTAAATAATCACCTAGCCTAATTATTTCAACCTAAAAATGACTAAATATATGTATATTATATGACTGCCGAGTCGCTTTCACCCCGAAATGGCGGAAGCGTAGGGCTGCTGCTGGACGCTGGTGTTGCAATGGAACGTTCTATTGGCTTTCACTTTTTGTCAATATACGTTCTTTGCTTAGACTAAGCTAAACTAACCTAGCACCAAGCTAACTTAGGCTAAGCTAACCTAGCCTAACATCAAGATAACTTAGGCTAAGCTAACCTAGCTCCCATCCCGTGTAGGCTAAGCTGAATAACCTCCACGGTTAGCAGTTAGCATAATTTACTTGAACCCTTAATTACCGCTTGTGTTCCCCAGTGCAAAGTATTCTAGAATACATTCCTCAACACCAGTTAGGGTTTCTAATTATTGACTTTCCGTGTTTGCAATTCTTATTAGCTAAAGTTTACCTTCACTGGGTTAGGAATACTCCTTGCTAACCGTTGAAGACTAACTTCGCAGATGCCCTGTTAATTAAACTTAAGTTTAACTACATGTAAACTGCGTAACTAACTACAGAAGAATTCGTATAACCATAGGAATTTTCATTGGCATGTTGACTAAACCTTTGGACGGACAAACACGATGTGGTTTTGAACACGCAACCGCTACAACCCACTATAGAGTGTTGATTGTTGCCTGTTTTCTTTAGGCCAAAAAAAGAAAGAAATTTCAGCCGATAATTTTCGGGTTCAATGATATTGTCAGGATTCAGGCTCGGAGACAGAGGTAAGTGATGAACTTAAACTTTCTTTATTAATAAACAAGGTAAGTATTCAGGGTTTCAGGTGCTCAGAAGTGCTCTTGAAGGAGGATACGTGACAGGAATACATCCAGGTGAGTGAATCCTCCTCTTAGGAATTACATGAACGGTGACACAAGGCAATGACTTTCCTTTTCTCACTTTCAGATCGTCGTGGAGCAGACGGAGTACAGACAGGATTCCAGGTAGATCCTTTTTCAATAGTAGGTCGAGAACTAACACAGTTCAGTGATACTTGCTTTTCATCCTTATAGATCATCCATTAGAGGGACTAAACTCATGGCAGAATCCAGGACACAGGGAACGAGAATCATGGAGCAGATCCTGGGAACATCAGAACAAGGACAGAGCGGTTAGTCTTTACAGGTAAGTATACTTTACATCTCAGCTCGGTGGATGTCTCAGAGGGAAGCAAGTGAAGGCTGGTTAGGGTCTTTTCCTGTTGGAGGCTTGACAATGAGTGACTGTGAACTTGGTGCTTTTATGCTGGCTGTGAAGGGCGTGCTGATTGGAAACAGGTGCAGGTGATTAGAACTCTGGGGAAAGTGATCGTTGCGTGGTGACTTGGGAGAACTCTGATTGGCTCCTGACATTACCCCCCCCTCCAGAGTCCGCGCCAGCGGACCTTGGACCTCGACGTCGTGGAGGTCTACCTCTGGGTCGTGGTGCAGATTTCTCAGGATGCTGAGCATGGAATTCTAGAAGCAAACTGGGATCAAGAACATCATTATGAGGTACCCAACTCCTCTCCTCTGGCCCATATCCTTCCCAGTCAATGAGGTATTCGAGCTTACCCCCTCGACGTCGAGAGTCCAAGATCTCTTTAATCAGATAAATGGACTCTGGCTCAATGGGTGGTATAGGGGGGTTGTCCTCTGGTTCTACCTCTGTGACTGACTGGGGTACCGGTGGATGATAGGGCTTTAGGAGGGAAACATGAAACGTGGGGTGAATGCGATATTCTGGGGGTAACTGGAGCTGATAAGTGACTGGATTAATTCGCTTTACGACTGGAAATGGTCCGATGTACTTGGGGTTCAACTTTCGACATGATTGGCGAAGTCTGATATCTCGAGTGGAAAGCCAGACGAGCTGTTCAGGCTGATACTCTGGATTGGGTCGGCGGTGTTTATCAGCAAACTGTTGCTGCCGGTTGACAGCTTGCTGGATATGGTGATGTGTCTGATCCCAGACCTGTTCGCTCTCTTCAAACCACTTGTTAACTGCTGGTACTTCTGAGGGCTCACCGGACCACGGGAATAACGGAGGTTGACAGCCAAGGACGCACTGGAATGGAGTTAACTGAGTGGATGTCTGTCGAAGAGAATTCTGTGCGTATTCTGCCCAGATGAGGTACTTGCTCCAGATGTTCTGATTGGAGTGGCAGAATGCTCGCAGGAACCGACCAATGTCTTGAATTTTACGCTCTGTCTGTCCATTGGTTTGCGGATGATACCCTGAAGACAGACTCACTGTCACATTCATTAATGTGAAGAATGCTCGCCAGACTCGAGAAATAAACTGGGGTCCTCGATCGGAGACTATGTCCTCAGGGATACAGAAATTTCGAAAGACATGTTCCACCAACAATTCAGCAGTGTTAAAGGCTGTTGGCAGTCCTTTCAATGGGATTAACTTGCACGCCTTTGAGAAGCGATCGATGGCCACGAAGATGCAAGTATTCCCCTCGGAGACGGAAAGATCAGTGACAAAGTCTACACCGATGTGGGACCAAGGTCTATTCGGGACAGGAAGGGGTACTAATTTACCCACAGGCAGATTTCTTGGTACTTTGGAGATGGCACACGGGATACATCCTTGAATGAAGTTGGTGATGTCTGATCGCATGGTGGACCACCAATATTTGACTTGTAGAGTGGCTAGAGTCTTGTTTACCCCTGGGTGTCCAGTGGCTACTGATGATCAAAGAAGTTCGGAATTCCTCAGGCACATAGATCTTCCCGGGAGGACATCCGGGGACTCTGGGTTGTTGCTGGGATAGCTCTTGGAGTTGATCATTTATCTCCCACTGGATGGGGTTCACGAAAAGACTCTCTGGCAGGATAGTTTCAGGTTCTTCTACAGGGATTTCAGAGGCATGAAAACGAGATAGAGCATCTGCTCTTGTATTCTTTGAGCCTGGGCGATAGGCAATCTTGAAATGGAATCGTGTAAAGAACAACGCCCATCGGGCTTGACGTGGGTTCAGACGTTTCGCATCTCTTAGATACTGGAGGTTCTTGTGATAGGTGAGTACTAGGAATGGGTGCTTTTCTCCCTCTAACCAGTGTCTCCATTCTTCTAAGGCAAGCTTTACAGCTAGAAGTTCCCGGTTTCCGATGTCGTAGTTGGCTTCAGCTGGAGAGAACTTCTTCAAGAAGAAGGCACAAGGTGATGGCTTAGAGGAGCAATCAGAATACTGGGAGAGAACTCCTCCAACCCCGGTGGTGGATGCATCTACCTCTACCACAAACGGTCTCTCAGGATCAGGATGATGAAGCAGGGGTGCAGTGGTGAAGGCAGACTTCAGAAATGTAAATGCCTCCTCGGCTTCTGGGGTCAATTTCAAGATCTTGGGCTTTTCTTTTAGCAACGTGGTAAGAGGAGCGGTGAGCAAACTGTACTGGTTGATAAACCGTCGATAGAAATTGGCAAAGCCAAGGAACCTTTGGAGTTCTTTCACTGACTTGGGGGTTGGCCAGGACATGATGGTCTCGGTCTTGCTTCTATCCATCTCCACTCCTCGATCACTCAGAACGTATCCCAGGAAATCGACAGTGGTTTGATGGAAAGTGCACTTTTCAGCTTTCAGAAACAAGGTGAATTCTCTGAGTCTTTGGAGGACTAACGACACGTGTCTTTGATGCCCAGCTGGGTTCTTGGAATAGATCAGGATATCATCGATGTATACCAGGACAAACTTTCCTAGGAAGTCGCGGAGAACCTCATCCATAAAACTTTGGAATACTGAAGGGGCGTTGACCAAACCATAAGGCATGACGAGGTATTCATAGTGGCCTGCAGGGGTGATGAAAGCGGTTTTCCATTCATCTCCTTCACGAATTCGGATGAGATTATAGGCACTTCTCAAATCAAGCTTGGAAAACATCTTTGCCTCTCTGAGTTGTTCTAGTGCGGCGGGAATGAGAGGTAACGGATAGCTGAACTTCACGGTGACTTGATTTAAGGCTCTGTAATCGATACAAGGTCTCAGCCCGCCATCTTTCTTGGACACGAAGAAGAAACTGGCTGCTGCGGGAGAGGTAGATGGCCAGATATATCCTTGATCTAGAGCCTCCTTGATATATTTCCTCATAGACTCTTATTCAGGAAGAGACAGGGAGTAGATTCGACCCTTGGGCAGTTGTGCATCAGGAACCAGATCAATAGCACAATCCCATGGTCGGTGCGGGGGCAACTTGGAAGCAGTAACGGGATTAAAAACATCAGAGAACATGGAATAACAGGTAGGAATATTTGTTGACAGGTTTTCTGTGGGACTCTCGATGGACGTGGAATTCACTGGGATTGACTGGACTTTTGATTCGTTAACCAGACTAGATGATGGATCCTTGCGGCTAATGCAATGGCATCCCCATTGTAGAATTTTTCCAGACTTCCAATTGATTGTTGGTTGATGACGAATTAACCATGGTCGGCCAAGACTGAGATCTGTTTGACTATTCAGGAGCACAAATGGTTCGAACCATTCTTGATGCGTCTTTTCTACACATAGTTGAACGGGAGCAATTTTGGTAGTAACGTTTTTCTTGTTAATCAACTCCCCAGTTATGGCATAGATGGAGTAGGTTTTGGGTGTGTTGATCTCTCGCAGCTTAAGTCTCCTACAGAGCTTTCCGGAGATAAAGTTTCCCGCTGACCCCGAGTCGACGATAGCTGTCACATGGATGCAGAGTTCTTGAATTTGTAAGGTCACGGAAATGGTGAGAGGTGTTAAAACATGAGCATGATCCAGAACTGAGCTTACCATCATTCTTTCAGGTCGAATTGGGCAGTTGAGTCTGAAGTGGCCCTTGGTACCGCAGTACATACACAACTTTAACTCTTTCTGCCACATACGTTCAGCCTGGGGAATCTTGAAAGTGTCAACTTGCATTTCTTCGACTTGATTTTCGACTTTGGAAATCTCGACATTCGGTTGAGAAACAGGAGGATAAGAGGACTGATCAGGGTAACAACTCTGGGATCTTTGATGAACTTTCATGGCTTGCTGAATGAATTTTTCTATTCCTATGGTGTCATCATAGATGGCCAGTTGGAGGCGCAAGGCTGGGTTTAATCCACGGCGAAACACAGAAATTAGAGCTTTTTCATTCCACCCACTGTTAGATGCTAGCGTGCGGAATTCCACAGAATACTCAGATAGTGATTTTTTCCCTTGACGTAACTGTAAGAGTTGGTCTCCGAAGGAGGAATCATCCACTGGTCGTTCGAAAACTTCCTTGAAATGTTTCACAAATTCTTGAACAGACGCAACCACAGTTGATTCCTTCATCCACAATGACTCTGCCCACCGTAACGTCACTCCTGATAGTTGCTGGATGATAAACGCTACTTTCGATCGCTCAGTAGGATATAGCTGAGCTTGCTGTTCCAGAGCAAGCGAACACTGCAATAGGAATCCGTTGCAATCCTCCGCCCGACCAGAGAATGACGCAGGACGCGACGGGGGACTTGCAAAGGAGGTGATCGAAGAAGCGGCGCTCACGGAAGTACTCATGGGGGAAAACACAGGTCTCACGGGTGGAGCGGCGACTGGTGTGGGAATTAGAGGTACAGCAGGTTGTTTGGAATTCATCTTGATTCAACCTCGTTCTGTTGTTAGGTCAAGCCTTCTGTCAGGATTCAGGCTCGGAGACAGAGGTAAGTGATGAACTTAAACTTTCTTTATTAATAAACAAGATAAGTATTCAGGGTTTCAGGTGCTCAGAAGTGCTCTTGAAGGAGGATACGTGACAGGAATACATCCAGGTGAGTGAATCCTCCTCTTAGGAATTACATGAACAGTGACACAAGGCAATGACTTTCCTTTTCTCACTTTCAGATCGTCGTGGAGCAGACGGAGTACAGACAGGATTCCAGATGAGTAGATCCTTTTTCAATAGTAGGTCGAGAACTAACACAGTTCAGTGATACTTGCTTTTCATCCTTATAGATCATCCATTAGAGGGACGAAACTCATGGCAGAATCCAGGACACAGGGAACGAGAATCATGGAGCAGAACCTGGGAACATCAGAACAAGGACAGAGCGGTTAGTCTTTACAGGTAAGTATACTTTACATCTCAGCTCGGTGGATGTCTCAGAGGGAAGCAAGTGAAGGCTGGTTGGGGTCTTTTCCTGTTGGAGGCTTGACAATGAGTGACTGTGAACTCTGGGGAAAGTGATCGTTGCGTGGTGACTTGGGAGGACTCTGATTGGCTCCTGACAGATATAGTTAACAAATTTGCAATTGTTACAATTAAAAAATGAATCAAATTCAGGCAATTCTTTTTGATTAATGAATATACCTGATTGTTGTTGTTTTTCTGCATTTCTTTCCAGTCTCTTTTCATTTTGGTATTTTTTATTTTCTTTGAGTAAGTGTTCAATTAAAATACTTTTCAATCATTTTCTTGTTCTCCAACATATAAAACACAAATCTTGTGGCATTTCACAGCAACACTAGTTTATTAGTTAACTAACTACACATTTACTTTGTGAATCTAACAAAACATTTGCTCACTGTGACACAGAACAATGCTTTCTAATATGAGTCACTAGATTACATGATTGGGTGAAACTCTTTCCACACTGAGTACAGTCGTACGGCTTCTCTCCAGTGTGAACTCGCTCATGTTTTTTCAGAGATCCAGACTGAGTGAAACCCATGTCACAATATGAGCACTTGTAAGGTTTTTCTCCAGTATGAATTCTTTGGTGCAGTTTCAGATCACGAGATGTGGTAAAGCTCTTCCCACAGTCAAAGCACATAAAATCTCTCACTTCATTGTGTGTTTTCTGGTGCAGTTTAAAATTGGTCATCCTTGAAAAACTCTTTCCACAGCGAGAACACACATAAGGCTTCTCACCTGAATGAACTTTCAGGTGTGATTTTAGATGTGCTGATGAAATAAAGTCTTTACCACACTGATCACAGTTAAATGTTTTTTCTCCAGAGTGAATGAGCAGATGACCATTGAGAGTTGTTGAATGAGAAAAACTCTTTCCACACTGAGTGCATGTATACGGTTTCTCTCCAGTGTGAATTCTCATGTGTCTGTTAAGGTGTTCTTTCCATGAGAAACTCTTTCCACACTGAGTGCAGTCGTACGGCTTCTCTCCAGTATGAACTCGCTCGTGTTTTTTCAGGTTTCCAGACTGAGTGAAACTCTTGTCACAATATGAGCACTTGTAAGGTTTTTCTCCAGTATGAATTCTTTGGTGCAGTTTCAGATCACGAGATGTAGTAAAGCTCTTCCCACAGTCAAAGCACATAAAATCTCTCACTTCATTGTGTGTTTTCTGGTGCAGTTTAAAATTGGTCATCCTTGAAAAACTCTTTCCACAGCGAGAACACACATAAGGCTTCTCACCTGAATGAACTTTCAGGTGTGATTTTAGATGTGCTGATGAAATAAAGTCTTTACCACACTGATCACAGTTAAATGTTTTTTCTCCAGAGTGAATGAGCAGATGACCATTGAGAGTTGTTGAATGAGAAAAACTCTTTCCACACTGAGTGCATGTATACGGTTTCTCTCCAGTGTGAATTCTCATGTGTATGTTAAGGTGTCCTTTCTGTGAGAAACTCTTTCCACACTGAGTGCAGGTGTGCATCTTTTTGGCTTTTGTTCTTTGAATTGTAAAGTTACGATGTTTCTCCTTCACTTCATTCAGTTCTTGTCTTTGCTCTTTCACTCTCACCTGGTCTAAAATACACAGAAATACAGTTCGAATCAGTTCAAGTGAACCCTTATTTCATAGCAGAAAACAACAAAGATCTTTCACTTTCTGTTCTGTCATTCATTGTTAATATAGTAAAAATATGTTTGCAAACTGCTACAAGGTTATGATCATTTGTATTTCTGTATTTCTCTAACATTTATCATTCATATACTGCTTATTAATTCACATCTACCAAACTATCAACAATGAAGAATCAAGAATGGACACCAACCTATTTGTTCCTCAGTATCTTCATGTTTTATTCTGGATGGTTCTGGATCACTCATGTCTTCAATCTCCTCTTTAATAAACTCCATCTTTAACAGTCACACAGATTTCAGCTGCTACTCCTGGAGTTTGTCCTTCTCTTGTAGTATGATGGGAATATTCCCAGTATTTATTGGTGAATTGTTGTGGGAGGGGCTTCACTGCAGGTGTGAACTGTGATCACTGTGTTTTTATCCAATCTGCATTTAAAAAGTACAGGAACATCATGTTAAACTGAGCAGCTGAAAAACCTCTTTGTCTCCAAAAGTTCCCTGTTTTCAGCTCATTCATTATGGTGATGTCTGAGATCATCTGTAAATTGGCACATTCAATTGTTTTATTGGTGTCAACAGGCTGAAACAAACTACAGCATCATCACCTTTCACTTGAGTTCATGTCTTTGCTCGGTAAGTTGTTAACATTAAGTTAGAATGAGTTGAATTTTGAGAATGGATTTTCAAGTGAACACTGATTAATAACAGAAAACAAGTGAGATCTGCTTATAAAATAATATATTTTTGATGTACCAAAGGTTAGTTTTGTGATCCTCTAGTTAAAGATAAAATATGTAGGATTTTTCGCCACCAGGGGTCGCCAACCTTGTACAGTCATGGTCAAAATTGATGGCATCCCTGGTAAATATGATCAAAACTGGCTGTAAAAAATAAATCTGCATTGTTTATCCTTTTGATCTTCCATTCAAAAAATTGGCAAAAGAATTGAAAGTAAATCACATTATGAAATACATGTTTTTCTCCAAAACACGCTGGCCATAATTGTAGGCACCCCTGGGATGTTTTATTGGAAAAATATCTCTGAAGTACATTCCCATTAATATTTACATTTTTAAGCACACCAGGGTGTCTGGGAACAAGAAATTCTCCAGCTATGACTTCTTGTTTCACAGGAATTTAAATAAGAGGAAACACAAAGGCCAAATCCCCTTAATCATCCATCTGTAGAGAATTGAGGTGAATCAAACACAACTTAATCAAATTAATCTCTCATGGGATTAATTCACATGGATTCAACACTCCAAAGGTTTTGGAGCTCACATTCCATTCACTGGATGGCTCCAAAGGGTCTGCTTTGGGGGACAATACCCAACCCTCAGAAGACTTTTTATGGTCCTGCAGACCAACAGAATGCCACAGAAAGGGGGCACTCCTTTGATTCCCTGACAAAGATATTCAGAACATCTTTCCTCGTCCCCCCACGACTTGAACTCTCAGTAACCTTACGGTTGAGATCAGAGATCTCCCACATAAAATCAAACTCACTTCAGAACCATTTTCAATGGACTTCTGCTCAAGCATTTAATCCTATGTTTGCTAATGTCTAGTGGTGCAACGGATCATCACTGATCCGTGATCCATTCGGATCAATGTCTTCGGTTCGGCACACACGTGATCCGCGGATTGATTATGAAAAAAAAACAAAAAAAAACGTGCGCATGTTGTTCAGTCAACGCACAGCTTCGTCATAGCGAGCGGAGGAACGGAGAAGCTTGAACGCCCCGCGTCATTTCAGGGCTCCAGACCAGACTGCGACCAAAATTTGAGAGTGTGCGACTGAATTTTACATCCAGTCGCACATGTGCGACCAGTAAATTTGCCACACGTTAAACGCATGGTAAAGCGGCGCGTCAATGAATCCGTGACAAGAATAGCGCGCGTAAACATCTGTGGGAGGGAGACGGAGACAAATATCACAACCTGATGTGCGTCTGAGCAATCAGCGATCTATCGACTCGTTAGTCGTTACCTAACAGCGAATGCAAACAAAATGAAAGTGGAACGAAAATACGCTACTCATTTATGATTAGGACCGTGGTAGGAGCAGCAGCAGCGATCCATTGACAAAATAAAGCCCCGAACTTGACAGTCTCCTTGTTACTAGGAGATCCAGTGAAGAAATCCATTGAATTCGCCTCAGAATTAATAACATCAACACCACGAGATCCAGTGAGAAACACTCCGATTCGGCGCAGAGTTCTGTTAAACCATATCAGATCAAACAGCGCTGACGTGGAAACCAGGAGAAACACTTATAGAAGGCTTTCAGTCCACAAATCAGCCTATATATGATAATGTGTAAGAAATAGTCAAATGCTTACAAGTAGCCTACTACACATCTTTTCCCAGCACTTCAATAATATCATAAATAAATGTTTTATTTTTTTGAATTTTTTATGTGATTACCAACACATTTTTTGTTTATCCTTTAAAGATTGTCCTAAAATGAAAAAAGTACGATGATATTTTCACTACTTTTATTAATTGATATTAAGACATTATAAATGATAACAACTAAGTTAATTTCATCTACACCCTACATTAAGCTTAGTGATTTATTGTCAGCCCCAGTGCTACCAGAATTTTTTTTTTTTTTTTGTAGAACTCGCTGTGAGTTCTCATTTGAGGTGATGCTGCCCTCAACTTTCAGTCTGGAACCCTGTGAAGTTAAAATAAAATAGAATATCATAATGTTAAGTCTATTTATTATTAAAGAATTTGTCAGTAGGCTATTACAGTTATTTTGGGGGAAATTTTTTTTTTTTTTTTTGCTGATCCGAAAAATGATCCGATCCGTGACCCTGATCCGAGAAACGATCCGATCCGTGAGTTTTTTGATCCGTTGCACCCCTACTAATGTCCATACAATATATGTGTGTTTGATAATGCTTAGATCACATATTAATCATGTAATTGTTATACAACCATTAGAAGTGTGAATGCCTCGTTTACTCTCAAACGAATCGTATTCTCTTAATTCAAAAGATGGCTTGATTGAAATCTGTGTAAAAGGTTTTGTTTTATGATAATAATAATCATAAGGTTTAAACTATGGTCTTTTGTCTCTCTGCTAAGTGCTGGAGACCAGCTCACAGACCATGCATAAATTATGATAAGCAAGAAGTAGATCCACCTCCTAAAATCATGCCATTATCTCATTGGGCAGAAGTTTCTGGGAGGTTGGACTAGAGTTTAAGTTAAAGATCCAAACAAAGGAACAAGACCTCATGTTTAGTTTTGTGTTCGTTGTTTGTTTTTACTCAGTTTCTCGTTCGTTCAGTTTGTAACTGTTAAGTTCGTGCCTCTCTCTAAAACAGCAAGAGAGTGTTCTGTTCGTGCTTCTCTCTGAAACAAAGAGCGTGTTCGCATGCTTCTACATCGACTAGACCAAATTCGACCAGCAGACGAATAACCCATCAAGATCAGGGTTACAACTCAGCTCATTCAAGCCATCCGACTCGCCTTACTTTCGTTTCTTTCCTTTGTTTCCTTTTTCGTAAAAGTCTCGTTTCAAAGTTAAGTTTGCAACCTGCTTCGAATTGGAAAAGACTCTCATTCGCTTGCTAATCACACGTGACCAGCGGCGAAACTTCCATCCCTGCATTTCAAAGGCAACCAACCACGCAACGGACCCGGCCGGGAAACCGCCCTTCGATGCAACGCAACAAAGGAATCCCCAAAGCCACGCAAAGACACAAGCAAGTACTCCAGACTCTTAGCTGAACTGGTGCTTTAATGTAAATTGAATAACCTCTCTAAGAAACGAAGGTTCAAATTAATGCTTGGTGGTCCTTTCAGGTCATGTCTTACGTGCATATAGAAAGTTGAAACTTTCTCTCACTCTTTCCAACTCACTCTTTTCCTTTCGCGACTGTATGAATGTGTGTGTGTGCGTGACTATGTTTAGACCTTAGTTTTGTGTTTAGAATAGCTAATAAAGTCTTCCATATATTTGAAAAGATACATTTTCTTGTGTCGTGTTTGCACATTTAATGTCTTGTACTGTTCGATCTAAAGTTACCTTGCTAAGACATAGTGTTTCACTATAGATTGGGTATTTATATCCTTGCAAAGGTTATAATTACGTCCCGTTCAAATGAACTCAAAAGGAGTCGTTTTCTCGGTTCCATCAGTGATTCGGTTAAAGGGTTAATTCACCCAAAAATGAAAATTAAGTCATTAATTACTCACCCCCATGCTGTAGAGGCCTGCATTTCAGCCCGAGCCCGACGGGCCCCGACTTATTTACACTCCTCGGGCCGGGCTTCGGGACAATTTTAACGTCATAGTTCACACGCGGGCCGGGCCTCGGGCCTGTTTTAGGCTTATCTTTTTATAGCCTATTTTAGATATTACTTAAAATAAAATATGAGAAGATGACTATTGAAAAGCAAACATAGAAAGACGTTTTATAACCCATCATACTGACATATATGACTGACAGTCTGCTCACGGCACGCACACGCGCACACAGGTTTCCCGGCAACGCGATTCGCGCGACCGGCTCGTTCTCTGTTAAGTGTCCCGCCAGCAGCAGGAGTAGTGAGCGTGACTTCAGCGCAGCTGGAAAAAGTACGACTGCATTAAAACTTTCCACGGTGGATGGTGCTTTTTCTGCACGATGCTCTGTAAGAGACTGTTTAGGAGGTTGTCTTGTTGTTTTTTGTTTGATTGGACTTTAGTTTCATGAGTCTGTTGGAAACTTTTGGAAATACGAATGGCCATGTTCTGTAGTGAAGACTTGATTTTTGAGGTAAGATAACCTGCATGTTTGTTTTTAATGTAGGGCCTAATTTATTTGATTTGTTTAGATTGC